TTTTTAAAGCAGAATAAAATCAGAAATTTGCCAGGGTCACAAAAACAATCGGCAGACAAGAGTAATCAAATTCCAGCAAGTCAAAAGCCTACCAGAAGAGAAGGGACACTTCTGTTTTGAACTGAATGTTATTGGAAAAGGCACCAAATGAATTTCTCAGGACAATACAGCTAAATCCACAAGAGTGTTACCTTTCAGCCTACCCCTAAATATGTTTCCTGGCTCTGAGGAAAAGACATTCCACAATGCGGGAGCCATAACAGAGGAGAGCCTGCAGTTGTTGCTGCCAAAAGATATCAGTGGGATATACAACAAGGCCTCTCCAAAATGGCCTTAGATGTTATTTTCCAGGTGTGATTTTTAAACTGCTGTATATTGATCCACTGGAGTGAAATTGATACGATTCTTATACAGGTTGAGTGTCCAGAAATCCAAAATATTCCAGAATCCAGAATTGTCTACATTGGTGGCTGAGATAATGACACCTTTGCTTTCTGATGGTTCAGTGTACACAAACTTTGTTTCATGCACAAAATTATTTAAAATATTGTGTATAAAATTACCTTCACATTACACGTGTAAGGTGTATATGAATCTATAAGTGAATTTTATGTTTATACTTCAGCCTCATCCTCAAAATATCTCATTATGTATATGCAAATATTCCAGAATCTGGAAAAAAATCCAAAACATTTTTGGTCCCAACATTTCAAATAAGAGAGACTTCACCTGTAGAATTACTTCTGCCACTTTCAAATAAAAACACGTCCTTGCATTTAACAGAAAGTCTGGCATCTCTAGTGTAGGTGTGAGAAATAATGAGAGAAGCATTATTAGTGTTTTTAACTTTTGAACATCACAGAGAAAATTACATAAAGTGCTTCGTGCAGGCTGTGTTCGTGTTTTTTGGTTTTTTTAAAAAATCTTTTAACCTTTATTTTTCACTTGGCTGTAAAATTGTATACTTGAATCCCACAGTAACTTGTCTGGAAAATTACTGTGAGTGCCTGTATTTTTAGAGTGGGTGTTCTATTATTCTGTCTGATCAGTGCTGTAATATGAGATGATCTTCTTGAAGACATCCTGCAGGCAGATGGTGGTAAGGACTCAAATAATTGGGAAGATACTTATGATCGTATTCTAGTATAGTCTTTCAAACATTGGAGGATGCTGCCTTGCTTTGACAAGATGGAAATAATTAATGCTTTTCTAGAACAGCACCAGCTTGCATTGCAAAAGCACTGAACAAATTCCTTTTAAGAAGAAAAATGTAAACAGGTAGCTGAGTGGCAAAGGCAAACAAGCATGGGGGAAAGCTAAATTTATTTTCTCTGCAGACGTGGACAAAGAATATGTCTAAATGTCAGGCATTGATAAGAGTTGGATTGTAGGCTGTTGGATTCATGACCCTAA